GCTGTCAGCTACCTAACGCAACTCTCCTCCTTTATCCTGCCTTAGGGCAGGAAGTATTGGCAATAGAACAAAGCACACGTTGGCGAAGTTGTAATTTTTCCTAACAAGAAACGTGAAAAAATCAAGCTGCAAATTTTTAATGGGGTTTAATTGGGTTTCTAGCAAAATTGGTTGTTTTGGAGAGGAATTTGATTTTATACTTTGGGTGATGTGGTACATGCTTTTCTTGGGGGTTTCCCTTTTTTGTTTGGTCAACCAAACATCAGAAAATGAAGAAACCTGACAAGTTTTTTGAGCTTTCTTCAATTTTTAGGGTTTTCTTCATTTTTTAGCGAATCATATGGACCCTTGTTGTGAGTGCTTTGAAAAAATTATTGAAAAGATTAGGCACATATGCTTCAATGGAACTTCAAATCATATATCCAATGGTCAAATATTTACTAACCTAATTGCTAATAGATTACGTAACCGAGTCGCCAAAAGATAAAAAATTACTGTAAAGATTAGGTAAAGATTAGCCACACATACATATTTTAAAAAGAAATAATGGTTACCTAATCGAGTCGCATCGAGGTGAATATAAGATTTTTTTTTCTACTGCATATGCTATGTAACTAGAGTAAAGTCGAACAAAGAATAGTATTTTAATATTTTATATCTATTTATATATTTGTACGAGCAACTAATGATATTATTTCTATAGAAATAATTTTTTATATGTGAATTTATATATATTCGTATCTTTTAAGGAGGGTATAATCAGAAATTATTTATTTATTTTTATTCCCACTTAAGTGGGAATATCAATTCCTTGTAAAATGGTTGGGAATAACAATTCTCACATTAAGTGGGAATTGATAAGAAGTGGGAATAGTAATTCTAGCGTCTAAAATACATCGTGTTTGGTACGCATGAATAAAGAGTTAGAATTGTATTCCATTCCCACTCATTCCCGCGTACCAAACAAGACGTTAGAGAATTCTATTTGTTAGTTTGTTGTTTCCCAATAAAACCCAATAGCCCTTTTGTTTGTTTTTGTTTATCAATATTAGTCTGTAAAAATGTTTGTTATTTTGAAATTAGTCCCTCAAATCTTCCTTATTTTGAAACTAGGCTCCCAAGTCATGGAATTTGCTATAAGGTCATCAATTCTAAAGGTAGTTTAAAATTAATCCCTCAAATCATTGAAACAATGAGTGTCAATTCTTAAATTATATTGAAATTAGTCCCTCCAATCAATTATGGAAGTAGCAATTAGAGGGAAGTTAGTCACTTGAATCATCAAAGTTTCTATTATGTCCCCAAGTTTTGATTAATTGTTTCAAATTAATCCGCATAGTTGCTAATTCTACTATTTATTTGAGAAACAAATTTCAATATAGCATAAGAACTGCGACACTTAATAGAAATTTTAATAATTGAGAAAATAATTTGAAAATAAGGACATAGTAGCAAATTGAATGATTCAATGAATTACTTTAAAATAGGATGATGTGAGGGACTAATATAAAAAAACCCTTTTTTATAATGAAAAACTCATTCTATCATCTTTTTACTTAATAACTCTTTTTAAAAAAACTTTTTACCTAATAATCTTTCTTTACTATGCTCAAATATTTTAGAACAAAGGGCATTTTGCCTATGACCAAAATCTTACCCCTTATCTTAAACTTGGTCACTCCTAAGGTTTGGATATTTTATGTATAAACCCAAAGCTTTATCCTATTTACTTTTAAACTCAAAAGAGTTTTTAAAGGTTTATGCCGGTAAACTTGAGTATATAAGAGTCTTTTTTGGCTATAGAACTATAGTTTTGCTTTCATTTATTTTTAACTCATCTATTTTCAGAGTTGATTATTTGCTTTAAACTCAAAGATTTATCCCCATAAATTTTTAAACTCACCCACTTTAAAAAGTCAAACTACATTTATTTTACCTTGGAAAATAAATATTTACCCCAATTTTAATTTAAGCCAATACACTCACATATAGATAATTTTTGGCTACAAATTCAAAATTTATCTTTTTTTGGCTTTATCTTTTTTTAGGCAAATTCAAAGAGGAATTTCTCCTATAAACCCAAAAATTTTAACCCCAATTTATTTGTTGAACTTACCCACTTCAAAAATATTTAAATTGTTATTTTGTTTTTCTTTTTTAACACTAATTACGCGACATGAGAACTGTAAATGAGTTTTTTTTACCTATAAACTCAAAGTTCCCCCTAGTTTACTTTAAAACTCACCCAATTTTAAAAAAATTATTTGCATGTGAACCAAAATTTTCCCCATTTAGTTTTAGACTCACTTATTTCTAGATCACTCTTAGATACAAAATAATTCATTACTTTAATTTTAACCTCACTTTGCATTTTATAAGTTTGGTATATGGTGTAAGTTGATATTCTTTTTAATGTAAATTACTATATTTTTTACGTGATTAGGTACATTATGAATTTTTAAGCTAAATATTTAAACTATTATTTTTTACTTTTTCACACTTATGTCGTGACATCGTAAGGGTCATTTTTACTTGTTGTATTGTGTATCTAATAGGATTTTAATTGGGACATTGATCCCATGAATAAATGAATTGAATAGGGATTTCGCACATGCGAATCAATGACATTAGCAAATCTATTCGGAACAATCCCAGATCATACCCACTCCACTCTAGCAAACACGATTCTTACTATTTGGAATAAAATAAGTTATCAATTGTTAAACTTGAGAAGTGCTACTATGTAATATTATTATATGCAAACATTCTGTATAACTAGGAATTTAAAGAAATTTCAGGGCTTGTTTGATAACCTTATAAAACTAGGCTAGTTTGAACTTGATCCAGTTTTAAAATGTTTTCTAATTGAAAAAAATGGGCAAAAAATGATACTATTTTTTAGTTTAATTTTAAAGGTTTTAACTGGTTTAGTTGTTGGCTAGGAGAGAGCTGGTTCACATCTAAACTAGTTCTCAAAAGAACTAGTTCTAAAATCAAGTGTGGCTCATTTTCACAAAGTTGCAAAACACACTCTTAGTGTCTTGAAGAAGTATTTGGAGTGTCAGTAACTAGATGTGGCTCTCTGGACTTTTGTGCATTAACAAGTTCCGACTACCGATAGAGAAGAAATTGATTCCTTGATGTTCCCATTTATTGGGTATAACTTGTTGCGAATAGAACCCCTTAGTATTGGTTCAAGTGCAATACATCTTCGTAGTGAATGTTTTGAACTCTTTTAAAGGTGAAAAAAATTAGCAAATTGAGCATTTATCCTTAAAAATAATAAGGGTTCTATCGACGTTCTCAAATATTTTTAACGGTATTAAGAGTGAATTTTTTTTTCTTAGGAAGTCTATTTGTAGCAATTAGAATTACATGAGATCTATTCTCAACAAATAGAACTATAAAAGGTATCTTTGCGAGATTAGATGATCCCACAGTTGGTTTGTCCTCAATTAACCATTTATCATTTGTGTTCATCCAACCATTTTATCATTTGTGTTCATCCAAAGAATGCCCTTGAATGAACTCTGTGTCATATGATTAATTAACTCAATCAACCTCGTTTTAATGTTTTATAATATCCGAGTTTTAGATATTGAAGTAGTAAGGCTAAATTGCTTAAAAATACCATAAAGTTTATCATTTTAATAATTAAATAGCACAAATTATAAATTGGTACAAAACAATACCATAAAGTTCTCAATATTTTTATGTTATTAAAATCAATCATGCAAACGTGAAAATTTTTATCCAAATATTTTTCTATAATACTGAAATTAATTTTAGAGCTTTTTAATTATTAATATTTATTAAAAAATTTATTAGAAATATCTTAACTCTATTTTTAAATAGAATTAAGATAAGTTTGAAAAAAAATTGGTTGATTTAATTACAAATTTAATAAATATTATTAGTTAAAAACTCTATAATAAACATGTAAGTATCATATAGAAACATTTAGGTAAAAATTTCCATGTTTGGATGATTGATAGTAGTAATGTGCAAACTTTGAAAAATTTATGGTATTTTTTGTTCCAAAATGCAATTTGCAGTATTTAATTGTCAAAATGGGAAACTTTATGATTTTTTTGTGCAATTTAGCCAAGTAGTAAATCATTTATCAAAAGGCTTATGGGCTGTTTGGTTCAAGTAAAATTTTGGCATTTGACATGGATTACAAATTTTTTAGATCAAAAAGTGTGTTTTTTGAGTTTTAGGATTCCATAATTAATGTTTATTTCAATAATTTTTTAGAATGTTGAATCCCAAAACTATAAAAGACACCCAAGTTTCAGAATTTGCTATATCCTCTCCAATTGAGAGGATTTGGTAAATCCCATAAATAAGTTTGTTTATCCCTCTTTCTATATTATTGTATTTTATTTTTTTGTGGGAGGCAACCTCATCAAGGTAACTATACTCACTTCTCATTCATTTTTAGAATTTGTTATCAAGATATTACAAATTGTAGAATTTACTTTCTTATGATAATGTTAAACCAAAAAAAATATTAAAATTCTCAAAGCATAAATAAAACTCTATAGATTTGAAATTCTTTATTGGACTACAAATCCTAAAATTTTTGCATTTGAATCAAACAACCCCTTAACGTACCAAAAAGAAATCATTTAAAATCGAGGGCATCAGAGACAGGTTTTTAAAGGTCGGATTGGGGATAAAAGCTATGTTTCGATCCCAGCTTGAAAATTTCCCACTACGAGCAAATCATGCTCGCAACTTATTGGAATTTAGGGTTAGGGTTTTAGTTTTAGAATGATGGCCACGCTCGATCGAATTTGCTTCACAGGTACAATCCGCACACAAAGATTTTTTCTTTTTCTTTTTCTTGGTGTCTTTATTGTTGCAAGTTTCGATGTCAAGTTTCTATTATTTATTAATTGCCTCACCGTATGATTTTGTCAAATTTGGAATCGACATTAACCCCCAATTTGTTAGTACTAGATACACTGAGCCACCGTTAACAATGGCACTTGCAGGTTGGCAACTTTATGCACTACATATGCCGATTCATCGCTGGATTTGCCATTGGGTTTTCAAGAGTCTGGCAAATAAGCCTCGTTACCCTCTCTATCGTCCCTCTGATCGCCATTGCTGGTGGCATCTACGCCTATGTAGCCGTTGGGCTCATCGCTCGTGTGCGCAAATCTTATGTCAAGGCCGGAGAAATCGCTGAAGAGGTCAATTTTGCTAGCATCTTGTTATGGTTTGTAGGGTAAATTGATAATTAGCCTCTCGAATATTTGAAATTGATATTTAGTTCCCCAAATTATATAAGTCAAGCTTCTTCTCTAGTTTGGGGTCTTGAAGAAGAAGAAGAAAACTGTTGGAGGATATGAATTTTGGATTTTGGTTTGGGCTTGGATTCTGAATTCCCGTATAATTTTCTCAGTGTTGGAATTGAGGGTACATTATGCATACATCAAGTTAATGTTAATAGAAATATTTCAAATGACGACTTAACGGGAGGAGTGATTTGGTGCGACTTATAGGATTTAAGGGAATGAACATGAATTTCTAAGATTTGAAGGACTAATATCATATCAGAATATAAAAACTGTAAGGGGTTAATATCTATAAAACTCTAATACTTATCGTCCCTGGGGTTGGCCATCCACTTGATAACATGTTACTCTAAAATGAGCTTAAATCTGATAAGCGCTAACAAATGACTTGGAGGGTGATAAGTCTTACTGAGGATATAGATAGGTGGTTGTAGGCTTGTAGCCAATTTATCCTTGTCTGTATATGTTTGCACTTGAATGAGTTTAGCTCATTGGTCTACATTGCACGTTGGTTACTTTTGTTGGCAGGTTATTGGGAATGTTAGGACAGTGCAAGCATTTGTGGGAGAACAGAAGGCACTGGAGAGCTACAGGAATGCATTGGTGAATACCTACAAGTATGGGAAGAAAGGTGGGTTGGCTAAGGGACTTGGGCTCGGGTCACTGCATTGCATTCTGTTTTTTTCGTGGGCATTGCTCACTTGGTTCACTAGCATCGTTGTCCATAGGGACATAGCAAATGGAGGGGAGTCATTCACGACGATGCTCAATGTTGTCATTGCAGGATTGTAAGTCTCTTATAATTTATCTTGTCGGATTCAGTTTGGAATTTTGAAGTACTATTTCACCACTGAAATGTAGATTCCAGTTACACATAGGAAATCGTAGGTACTGTATGAACTGTTCATAGTAATTAATATTACAAGTTATTTTTTTCTCAGGCCCACACATTTCTTAAGAAATTGTCAAGGACTTCTTGGTAGATTTTGTTTAATCTTTTTCCATAACAAGTTGGCTTGTGAAAATGGTAGTTTTTGGTACTTCACTTCGAGCTGTAGTTTCTTCATATAGTTTCTCCATAAAACCACAAGGCTCAAGTAAATCTAATATAGTTTCCCAAAGTTGAAGTAATATGGAAATTGAAGAATATCATTTAGAGAAATAACATTATTATGATGGTAACATGGGTTTATCTCAAATTTTTGGTGTCCTCTACATGAACTTTTTTTGCCCATTCAATTCTTTTAATGGACCATCTCGATCAATAATCTTCTTTTGCTATTGGATCCATATCATTGTAGTCTACCACTATTCTAAGCTACTACCTATTATATCCGATGCATTGTTCATATGTTCCTTTTAGCACATGTCAACTTACCCAAGGGGATTATCCCTTATCTTTTCTTCAACGAAGCTACCTGGTGGCTCTGCTCAAATTTGGATCTAGAGGAGTATTAGCATCAGCTACAGAGAAATAAGTCCTTCGTTCATGGTTGCCTAATTCTAAACCTTCCTCACAAGTTCCGTAAATCTAGCGTAATTAGTGAATAGGGGTTCCATAGTCTTATCCACTTGATTGTGCAAATTTTTCACTTGCCATTCGGTTGTTTTGTATTGTTTTGTTAGATAATTCTTGTTGACTGTGGGGAATTTAGTTTAAGGTATAGCTCTCGAGAATTCTCTTTGATCAATGAAGTGTCATCTCTGAAAAGGCTCATGAAACCCTCTTTTGTATAATGCTTAGCAACTTCTTGTTATGCAATTTTGATTATCATTAATTTCCAATTCAACCCACATTTTTAATCAAGCACTATTTGTAAAAATGTGTAGACCCATATATTTTCTTCTGCTCTGTTAGAAAAGCTATTCTTATGAAATAGCTTTTCAGAGCACTAATCCAAAATGGTTTTGCCAATTGATGTCATTTCTCTTCTACTCTTATTTTCTGCGCCAAATGTATCACACAAATTATTTTTTTTAAGGTAAACTGTGTGTAAGTTTCACATTTCCAACTTCTAGCTCTAATGATCTTTCTATTCAAGAATGTCACTATACGCAAATCCTCTTCAGCTAATCTTTAGACATATTGATAGTTGAAATGTAATACAGGGCACTGGGTCTAGCAGGCCCAAATGTCTCCACATTCCTCAGAGCAAGAACCGCTGCATACCCCATTTTTCAGATGATAGAAAGGAACACGGTTAGCAAAATAAGTTCAAGGACGGGGAAAACACTGCCTAGTGTTGATGGTGACATTGAATTTGACAATGTTAGGTTCAGTTATCCTTCACGACCTGACGTCCAAATATTTGACAGCCTTAGTCTTGACATACCATCTGGGAAGATTGTTGCTCTTGTTGGTGGAAGTGGTTCGGGAAAGAGCACTGTCATCTCACTCATCGAGCGGTTCTATGATCCTCTTTCCGGAGCAATTCTCTTGGATGGACATGACATCAAGGGTCTAGACCTTAAGTGGTTGAGGCAGCAAATAGGATTGGTCAATCAAGAGCCAGCCCTTTTTGCCACAAGCATCAGAGAGAACATACTCTATGGAAAAGATGATGCAACCCTTGATGAAATAACCGGTGCTGCTAAACTTTCTGAGGCCATAACTTTCATCAACAACCTTCCTGAGCGATATGAGACACAGGTGATTATTCTTGTCTTTTGTTTAATCATTATTGTAGATCAATAATTATTGATACATGTAGCTTATTTTCAAGCTTTAACATTTTCATTGATATATTATTAACTCAGCTTTCAATTGTCACATTATACCACTTAAACACAAGGAATCGCTGCACTAGTATGAAATCTGGTGGCTGGTGCTCTTACAGTTTAAACGAACTTCTGAAACTGCAGAGCATTGGTTGGAATTATTATGCGTTACCAAATTGCTTGAGATGCATATAACCTTGTTATCTTGTCAGTTCTAGAAAAAGCAATTGCCAAGCTTATGAATGGAGAAAATGTTTCAGGTTGGAGAGAGAGGAGTCCAGTTGTCTGGTGGGCAAAAACAGCGCATAGCAATATCAAGAGCGATATTGAAGAACCCATCAATTCTTCTCCTTGATGAGGCCACAAGTGCACTTGATGCCGAGTCAGAGAGAAGCGTTCAGGAGGCACTTGACCGTGTCATGGTGGGTAGAACTACAGTTGTAGTGGCCCATAGACTCTCCACTATAAGGAATGCAGACATCATTGCAGTGGTCCAAAATGGGAAGATTGTGGAGACTGGAACCCATGAGCAGCTCATGCTGAACTCTGAGAGTGCCTATGCTTCCCTTGCTAAGCTCCAGGATGCTTCTGCCCAGCAATCATCCCACTTTGAGAAAGCAAATACCACACCTTCTCAGAGGTAATCCCTTAGCTTGACTGCCGTTATTTAATGTGTGGTTCATGTCAAAAAATATTGGTTTATTGATATATATATATATATATACTTTTGTCTAGTATCAACTATTCACATAACTTGTCACGTAAAACAAGCTTGGGAGCGAGCTTTCGCTCTGACAAGGACTCTGTCAATCACCTTGTTCCGGAAGAAATTGATCCTCCTAAAGCAAAGCCTGTCTCCATGAAAAGATTGTACTCTATGATAGGTCCTGATTGGATATATGGCGTGTTTGGAACAGTGGGTGCATTTGTAGCTGGTGCTCAAATGCCGCTCTTTGCTCTTGGAGTAACTCAAGCTCTCATTTCCTATTATATGGACTGGGAGACTACTCAGAGGGAAGTAAAGAAGATAGCATTGCTCTTCTGTGGTGGTGCCGTTCTCACAGTGATTTTCCATGTCATTGAGCACTTAAACTTTGGTATCATGGGTGAAAGACTCACACTTCGCGTCAGAGAGAAGATGTTTGAAGGTGAGACAGTCATTTATTGTTTTTCTGCTTATCATGTCCTTTTTTCCTATGGGTCAAAGTTAGCCAGTGAAATCTCTGGCTTCATGTTATATCGTATATGCTAAGGTGATTCTCTATCTAATTTCGTTACTTGTGTTTCCAGCAATGCTACGAAATGAGATAGGATGGTTCGATGAGACTAGTAATAACAGTGCGATTTTGTCATCTCGGCTTGAAACTGATGCCACTTTGCTCAAAACTATAGCTGTTGATCGCTCAACTATCCTCCTCCAGAATATAGGGATGATGGTAACATCATTCATTATCGCTTTCATCATTAACTGGAGAATAACTCTTGTGGTTTTGGCTACTTTCCCGCTAATGGTCAGTGGGCATATTGCTGAGGTATAACTTTTATTGTTAGATGTTTATTTTGTTGTATTTCCTAGCCATATTATATGATCTCTGATATTTACTATTCGTCTATGTATCTCCTATAGAAACTATTCATGAAAGGATTTGGAGGGAACCTGAGCAAGACATACTTAAAAGCTAACATGCTTGCTGCAGAGGCTGTCAGCAATATTCGGACAGTTGCTGCGTTTTGCTCAGAGGAGAAGATTATTGACCTATATTCCAGGGAGCTCGAGGCACCCTCAAAGCAATCTTTTCGTCGTGGCCAGGCTGCAGGCATCTTTTACGGTGTCTCCCAGTGCTTCCTCTTTTCTTCATATGCATTGGCTTTGTGGTACGTGAAACATAAAAACCAAAGAAGTTGCTCTACCTTCCAGCATTATTAACTCTAGGGCCAGTCACTCTTCCTCTCGATCCAGGGAGTGTTATCTCATCCTTCAAGCTATAGTTGTGGCACCTGACACACCAAGTCATATGATATGATCGTATCACTATCACATATAAATCCATATTATTGGATAGCAGCAAGTAACAGTCAAACTTGATTTATCAAGTTGTATTTTGATTGATTCGCATACATCCTGAAGTTCAATATTCTCATTGTATCAAGTTCCTTTATCTTCCATGTTCAAGTCTTGTATCTACCTATACACTCGATGGTGTCTCATTCATGCAAGTGAGAGTGATTAAGGAGATCTGAAAGACTTTAGCTCTTCAGGAGCACATACTGTTGAGTTGTTCAGACCATCATTAGCTAACCTCTGTGTGTGTGTGTGTATATATGATGTAATGGGTATGAGGTGACAGCTCATTTTGCTAAATGAGCTAGCAAGAGATAACCATGTGAGGAGGCCCACCTTTCTTGTCACGTCAAAAAGTTTGGACCTTACCACTTCCATCTCATGGTAGTTCATTTTGCCAAATGAGCGGCCACCTCATAACCATTAATACAAATGTGTGTGTGTAGATATATATGCATGTATTGCGGGAGAGGGAGGGAGGGAGGGAGAGGGGGGGGGTATACTTGGTAGTAAGCACAAATTTGGTACTTGGTAGCGACGTGGATGCTTCTTATCCACGCATTTAAAGATGTCCATTTAAAAATGATCTCTGCTTGATTACCCACCCATTAAATGAGGGGATAAGAAGTGGTCACATTACTATCAAACACAAAATTTGGTGCTTCGTACCAAGTATGTCTATCTTTTTGGTCACAACTTCTGGTTTTCTACTCCTTTGTAAGTCACAATTTTAAAAAAATCTCAACAATGTCCTCACAACTTGAAATAAATGCCCTCACTTTTGGAATTCCCAGGAGTGCCCTCGCAACCAAAAGTTGTACAAAATTCTCATGCAACCGAAAAATCCAAGAATGAAACTATCCAGAAACATGTCCTCACACTTCAAAAAATCACAACGAGAAGAAAAAACACGTTCAACATCCCAGACTTTCCAATACTTAGGTACCCCCATATATCATATGTCATGCACCAGATACTAGTATATATATGTCATGCCACTCAGGGCTCTGTCCACCAACTTTTCCACCATATTTTTTGTCTTGAATTTGCTTTGAGATGTGTGCTGATGTGTGATACACATCAAGACTATCTTTAAGGTGCATGTGTTGACGTGTACCATACATCAACACGCATCTCAGCAAATCCTAGGGATAAAAAAGTTGGCGGATAGTGTATACTCTCTCTATGGTTAATGTGTAACCTTATCTGAACTCCCTACATAACCTCAAATAACAGAAGCATTTCAAAATGAAAACCATTGATTGCCTATAATAATCCAAGAATTATTCAAAAGTTTGATTAGGTTGGGTGTGATTGATTTTACCGTTAATGGAGCTGTATTTTGAGGATCTAGTACTCTGTGTTTTCTAGTTGAATCTGATAAAATCACATACTTATGGGTAAAACTATACAATTTTGTTTTGGCCCTGTTTTGCAGGTATGGCTCAGTCCTCATGGGCAAAGGGCTTTCGAGCTTCAGCTCTGTCATGAAATCCTTTATGGTCTTGATAGTGACTGCATTGGCCATGGGAGAGACTTTAGCAATGGCTCCGGACATCATCAAAGGGAACCAAATGGCAGCTTCAGTGTTTGAGGTGTTGGACCGAAAGACTGAGGTTGTAGGGGATGTTGGAGAGGATGTTCAGAGAGTAGATGGAGTAATTGAGATGAGGGGTGTTGAATTTCAGTACCCTTCACGACCTGATGTTAGAATTTTCAAAGAGTTTGATTTGACAGTGAAGGCTGGGAAGAGCATGGCATTGGTGGGTACAAGTGGTTCCGGCAAAAGTACAGTTCTGTCACTGATATTAAGGTTCTATGATCCAGCATCCGGAAAAGTTATGATTGACGGTATGCATTTGGAACCAAAGTTTTCTTCAATATGCTACATTCTCTTCTTTTTTACTTTAATGCATACATTATATTAAATCGAGAGAAGCCACATAAATCGAAACTACTTATTTTTGTTTCAGCTGTTTTAATGTTGCTGTTGAATATTTTTGTGTATGTCAGCGCATGAGTTTCAAATACATTGAGTTAGCCATAACGTGTAGTATATTTTAGAGGTGAATCGTTCTAAATATGTGATATATGCACTTTATGAACCGCAGTCTCCTATAAGATAATACTATGCTCTTTGTAATAGAAGTACTTTTCCATAACAGAACATAAGTCTTGAAAAGGGTTCAGTGTACTTATGAAATGACATCTTTTTGAGTTATGAACAGATATTAGTCAATGATTTATCCTGAGTTAGTGATGTCATAGCCCTAATCTAAGCAACTGAATAAAAAATACGGATTCCTCATCAAGTTGGAAGTACTTTATGGGTGTTGAGACGACGGTATTGTTTGGTAAAGGAGATTAAGTCGTAGGTGTCAAGCTTTTAGAGTAAGTAGGAATTACCAATTTGCATATTTCCGTTGTTTGCGTACTGTGTTTAGGATGTAGGAGTTGGATATTTTGTCTTTGATCACTGGAATCAAATAGCTCCAGCTTGATGATGGAGTTTTCATTCTCAAAATGGGGTCCTTTAGGGGGTTTCAAGATTATGCCAGATAAATGGACACTAGTTTTTCATGACTCCACTTGCCAGATAAGCCTATTTGTTATACATCGTGAATTCATAGCTCGGTTATCCATTTTATGTTTTCTGAAACCTTCGACATTATATCCTATGATGAGTATACATTTTTTTGTTTTCATCAAAGGCTTGATTTTCTCAAATTTCCCTCACTTTTCAGGTAAAGACATTAAGGAACTTCGAGTCAAATCCCTACGAAAACACATCGGGCTTGTCCAACAGGAGCCAGCACTCTTTGCCACCACCATTTACGAAAACATCCTCTATGGGAAGGACGGTGCGACAGAATCAGAAGTCATAGAAGCAGCGAAGCTTGCGAATGCACACTCCTTCATAAGTGCCCTACCCGAAGGCTACTCAACTAGGGTTGGGGAGCGTGGGGTCCAATTATCTGGTGGTCAGAAGCAACGGGTAGCCATTGCTCGGGCCATTATAAAGAATCCAGCCATCCTTCTTCTTGATGAGGCAACGAGTGCTCTTGATGCTGAGTCTGAGCGTGTAGTTCAGCAAGCACTTGATCGTGTCATGAGAGGCCGAACCACTGTCATGGTAGCTCATAGACTTTCCACAATCCAGAATGCTGATATTATCTCGGTACTTCAGAATGGGAAGATTATAGAGCAAGGGAGTCATTCTGCTCTTGTGGACAATAGGAATGGTTCTTATTTCAAGTTGACAAAACTTCAGCAACGTTCACAGTAACAGTAGTTTTAGTATCTGTTTGTTGTACAGAAGTACAAATCAACTCCTGCTTCTTGTGCCACACAAATATAGGCAATCTCTTATACAATGTGAGTCCTCTTTATCTTCTTTTTCCGATGTATCTAAACTTCATTGTTTTCACTGTATCATTGTGTTAACAATATTGATCATTAGAAATAATACCAATAGATGAAAGTTGTTCTGCATTTCGTACTTGTTTTATAAATATTTTTGAATTTAATTGTTGGTTAGCATTTGTATTTTAGTGAGTATTAACTAGTTTTCCAACAGCTATTAGCGTACTAGAGGACATACATTGTCTCAGTCTTCACGTATTGTATTAAGCGGTTTTCTATGTTCATAGTACTATTTTTTGATGTTGTGATAATCACACTAGTAAATATTTATCGAAGGTTGGGCTGGACCTCAATGGGCAAGGGTTTGGGCCTGCCCATGTGTCCTAGCCAGGATCTACACTCAGCCTGAAACCTGCTTCTTAACCGTGAATCAGCTTCTTCTGTTACTTCTTTTTAACAACAGGATCGTGATGTTAATCTCTGAAACATGTAATATGACGTTTATTAGCAACACGGCAAGTTTAAAACAATATTAAAACAAGCTCTTAATAATTATTGACACATTTACAACAACGAACAACAAAGAGGCCATCAAACCCGACTGCTCCACGAAAAGGTGAAGGTGGATTATGAGAAGGTCCCGGATCCAATTGTGTAACTGGCATAACAAATATGAAAACAACAACATCCTCATCAACAACAGGAAGATTATTAAAAAAAAAAATACGTGAAACTAACTCTGAGCAACCAAATAATACTTCTGGACAAATTTCTCTAGCTACAGAGATGAGTCCATTGGACGCATGTTACCAAGATTCTGAAAGATAAAACATCTAGCAACGCATTTAACTTTGGGTTTTCATACTTGAGGCACATTACTGACAATGGGCATAGCTTTTATGTTCTGAATTTTCGATTATTTTTAGGTTCACCACTGGAGCAGAGGGGGTCCAACTGATCTCCAAAGAAGGTACAAGCAAAATTCATTCTTGAGCTTTGACTGCTTGTTGAATGGTCAGTTTTTCTACGTGATTTTATGTCCACACACCCAACCTCCAATTATGGAATGTAGAGCTGTAGAAGATAAGAATGCATGACTAATGCCTCGGTAAAGTGAGGAATATCCATGAGACTATGTTTCCAAATGCCCAATTAGGTGCATCAAAAAGGATTTAGATATATTTAGTATGAAATTAGTACTTTCAGGGCCTGTAGTTCTAACTTTTGTGACCCTTGGTGTCAGTCTTGCCGATTTAAGCTCTCTCTCTCTCTCTCTCTCTCTCTCTCTCTCTCTCTCTCTCTCTCTCTCTCTCTCTCTCTCTCTTTGAACTTACTATCCAATTTTCAATTTTGAAAGAGACTACAACGATGAATATTCTCACATGCTTTATTTTTTGGGCCTTAACGGGGAATACTTCAACAATGTGGTCTTGATGCTCAACCTAAGCACCTTAACTGATAAATCTAACATCAATATCTTTAAAGGATTTAAGAGAAAGATAACATGTGATTATTCTATTAAGAGATAGTACTCTTGTGTTTGCCTTTCGTACGGGAAATGTAGAACTTTTGCCATGAAATGCTCACTAACTTTAACCTGAATGAAAGCATAAACTCAAGTAAACCTTGCATTTCCTTTGAAAATGAGAATACTCATGTACATGTGATGGAAAAGTTGTCCCAGGTTCAACAACAAAACACAACATGGACCGATTGATCTTTAATGGTGGTAATCACAATCAATTCATATTGGTCTTTGATAAGTCTACATTCCATTTGTCTATGGATTGTACGAGATGAGAATCTATGACCAACGCCTAGATAAAGTGAGGAATATCCCTGAAAATGTTTCCTAATGGCAGTTAGATTCATAAAAAAGGACACATGTACTTTTAGCATGAAATTAGTACTTTCAGGGCCTGAACTTACGAGTTGTGCACTATTAGTCCATTAATCTTTCGTATTTAAGCTCAGTTTAACTTCTTATCCAATTTGCATTGTCGGAAGCGATTAAAACAACAGAAACTCTAAAATGCTTTAGCCCTTTGGCCTGAAACAGGGATTACTTCAACATGTGGTGTTTATTGCTAGCTAAGCATCTTAACTACTTGAAATCAAACATCAATATAATTGAAGGATTAATAACATGTGATAATGCTATTAAGAGAGTAGTCTTGTGCTTGGTTTTTGTCTACAAAAATACAGAATTTTTTTCTACACAATGCTAACTAACTTCGAGCTGGATCAAAGCATAATCTCAAGCAACTTGTGCATTCCCTTAGAAAGTTAGAATATCTATATAAATAGGGTCAAATGAATGTCCCATGTCAAATCATAACTAGCTAGGACATGTTAATTTTAATGATAAACACAAGCATTTTATACTAGAGTTGAACTTTTAGTTCCTATTTAACTAAGTCCAGGTTACCTCCAAATATGGATTATATAAATAAGGATCTATTATCGATGCCTACTAGATAAAGGGAGGAATGTCCATGAGAATGTTTTAAAAGGCCAACCAATTACAGAAAAAAGGATAGAGTTTCATACGTTTGAGTTAAATCATCAGATATTTGAGCATGAATGGGTACATCTTTCTAGTCTTACAAGTTACCATGAACATTTTCAGCATTTGAAGAAGTTGGATTTAAACCACAACTTTCCTCCCGATTAAATTTGAGATTGACCATTGGATCCATCACTTCCATTTTAACCATGTTGTAAACTTGTTACGCAATTTGTGATGCCAAAACAAACTATGTATACTCTAAAATGCTCAAGCCCCTTGACCCAAATGGATAATGCTTGATGTGTGTCACTGTTGCTAGTATAGCATGCTAACTACTTAAATCTAAAATCAGTGTCATGGAGGAAGCAGGAGATGCATATCATGCTATATAAATATAGCTTTTGGTAATAGACTCTTGCATAAGCAGGTACATGAACTAACTTACTCTTGCATAAGCAGGTACATGAAGTAACTTCATTTTTGAATTTGAGAATGCATCAAACCTCTTCATGTGCTTATGTTGCCCTTGCCCTAATGTAGTAAAAGGATGAGTTATATTCCCAGAATATAGTTAAGTAGTTATGCCAACCTCTACCTTGTCTTGTACATACAGAATATTCCTATAGAAGTTTCTGAAAATGCAAGTGCTGGTCATTGATTCCTTCATTTACCCTTTCTTTTTGTCTGTGGCCTCAGGGTGTTATGCTATAATTAAGAGTTGCAGATAGAAACATGCTAAGTATTGCGTATTTGGTTATATTCATGAACTTCTATCTTCACCAAATTTGGAGAGACATGATAGTAGACAGCATGGATTTGGTAGGGGTGTCCCCTAAGCCGAGCTGAGAGCATTAGGGCCTGTTTGGTTGATTTCCTAAAATCAAAGAAAAGAAAATATGATAAAGAAACCATTAAAAGTTAATTTCCATCTATTTCCTCAAAAAAGTCGTGAAATGAGTTTCCTTGAAAATGAGTTACATCATTCAATAATATAGTGATAACTCATCTCATCTCATCTCTTTTTTTACTTTTAAGAAGTGAACTAAACATATAATAAAATAACTTATTATAGGAAATAAGTTTCTTATAATTGATTTCTTTGTTTTTTTAGCCAACCAAACAGCCCCTTAGGTTACACAAATTGCTTTTCGGGATGAGATTGACAAGCTAAATCTTCCCGATTGATGGTGAAGTTTATAGTTGTAGGCGACATCATGAAATGACTTTTACAGTTTTACTTTTGAGTTCATCACAGTGTGGATTATTGAGGGGGAACCACTTGTTCGTTGTCTTAATCAGCTGTAAGGTTTAATTTGATGCCAACTGAATGGAACCACGACAGGAATTTTAGTGGATCCTAAGTCAAGTTAAAACTATTGATCTATAGGGAGCTTCATTTTAATTCAAACTATTAAAAATTTAAGACCAATATTCTGTGTTTTAGGCCCATCTTGCAGTCATAGGTCCTTCACAATTCGTAATGGTAGCAAAATTGGGGAAGTAACGTTTAATAATTTGTGGTTTGTGTACCTTGTAGGAAAGCTCAAGGGGTTTGGTAATTGTTGAATTGCTATGCTTTCTTTGATAAGAAGATGTGACTTATGAGTAACACATGAGGTAAGATGCGATGAACGTATTTTTGAACAACATGCACTTCCTATGTCTCTTGAAGCCGCATTGACCTTGTCATTGTGTGCTCATTTTTATGGGAGCGTGCTTCAGATATTAAAGAGGATGTACTCAAGATAATATTTTCATTGATGTATATACATGTATATATACGTACGTGATATATATAGTACGTAGACGACGGATAATGTGGACTACGAATCCTATCAGAACAACCAGCGTAATGTGAGGCGTTTTGGTCCACACATGGTATTGTAAGGTGGTTTGGTAATTACAAGGACGCACGTGCGAATTGCTCGGCAAGCGCGGTTCTGATAGAAACGCTGCTCGCTAACGTGCCCCTCCACGGTGTCAGGCTAGTGTGTCATTGGTATGATGGACATCCAAGTCGTCATAGTTCAGATAATCAACACACCGTGATCAAAATAAACAAATGCCACAAAAGAATGGCCTCAAAAGTATCGTGCTTGCATGCATGTTTGATATTTATTAACTTTTTTCAACTACAAACGTAGGAAATTGCCCCTGCAGGTTTTCCATTAGAAAGATTATAGACCAAGTATTGTAGAATATCATCCACTTGTTTACTGGTCATGCTACTGTGGTGATAGCACATTGTTATTACATAACCCTTTACCCGTAATGCTAGAGAAAAATAAATTGATAACAAACTTATTTTGAAAAACAGTGTAACGTTCAGTTTGATTTATTGTTGGACGCAAAGTCACGCCCTCACGGCGCGGAAGCGATATCACCCGAGAGAAAGCCCTGACTTTTGTTTTCACAAAAGCTCAAGTCAACCTATATATTCCCGTTTTACAAAGGAAATAAGAACAAAAGTGAAATATCTCAACAAAGTGAGATATACACTCTTCCTCTCAGCAGTTGTAGAACTGAATGTCGAGGGAACCTACAAGTAATAGCCAAGACACAGTTTAATACACGAGATTTACGTGGTTTGGTAAACTTGCCTACGTCCACGAGAGAGGGGTTTCACTATGAGGAGAATACCAAACTTGTGCAACTCACAAGCTCTCTCTTTTTCTTCTCTTCTCACTTCCTCTTCACATCACTTTTTTCTTTTCTTCCCCACAACTTCTCTCTTCCTCACCTCTCCTATTTATAGGCAAAGAAGAGGGGACAAGATAGTATGGGTGAGCATGAGGGAAGCATGAGTGAGCATGGGGGGAGCATGGGGGGTTCCACCATCTTTTGTCCCACCATCCCACTTTCACAATTCTCCACATCGTTCATCATTTGATAAACCTCATATTTTGAATGAACACCAGAAAAACACCACGAACATCACCAGAGAGATCTGAAACACCAAATTAGACCAAAATCAGGCCAAACCAACTGCATCATTATACCATGGTTGCCTACGTACCCTCTGACCGGGATCAAACTAACCGTAGTTCTGTAATTATTCTCCAACATAGTCTCCACCTCACTTTATCACCGTCCCAAAGGGCCATGCCCTCTTGAGCAGATTAATACAGGCTGATATGAAGCAAGTCCAAGCAGTGTTGGAACTTGCTACCTGTCACCACCTTGGTCTACATGTCTGTGGGATTCTCATTCGTGTGTACCTTCATGAGAGAAATGTCACATTCGTCTATGACATCCCACACAAAATGATACCCGATGTCGATATGCTTGGTACGAGCATGGTGAACTTGATTCTTAACCAAATGAATCACACTCTGACTATCGTCCCATAAGTTCACAGTATGCTACTCAATCCCCAAATCATCTAGAAGACCCCACAGTCACAATGCTTCCCTCACTCCCTCCGTCATGGCCATGTACTCGGTCTCTGTAGTAGAAAGTATCACTGTAGCATGTAATATTGATCGCCAACTAACTGGAGCCCCATATATGCTGAATACATAACCAATAGTATATCGTCATCTATCTAGATCACCCGCGTAATCCGAGTCCACAAACCCGTCAATCTGATATGTATCTCCACCAAAGCACAAACACGTATCAGTGATATCTTTCAAGTACCTCAGGACCCACTTCACCGCTTCCCAGTGCGCCTTTCCCGGATTCGCCATGAACATGCTGACCACACTAACCACATGTGAAATATCGGGACATGTACACATT